GCTTCCCGCTTGCCCGTTTGCCTCCTCTTCTTCCTCTTCCTCTTCTTAGCTTCGTTCCTCTGCTTTGTGCTTCGCTGCCCCAAGTGCCAGCTTGACAGCGCTACTGTATCTACGAGCGTGGAGCAGAGATCCGGAAATCACATACTGTGTACTCCAACAGAGTTGTTGGACGCCAGTCGTGTCGTTGGTCGCCGTCATGTCGTTGTTCGCGGAGCACTGTCAAGTCGTGGCTTGCCAACCGCCGGAGTTATTGGTCAGCGACCGCTGTCCAGTCGTTGGTCGCCGACCAGTCGTTGCTCGCCGTCGTGTCATTGGTCGCCGTTGACACCAAGCTTGGGAGCAAGCAGCTGCGTCCCGCAGCAGCAGCTGTCAGCTGTCGACAGTCGACAGCCGCCTGGTTTTGGGGGAAATGTCAAACTGCATAAAACTACGAAGCCAAACAACATATTATTTTGTAAAGTCCTGTTTTCTGTTTTGACGCAGGCTGCGTCAATAGGTGCGTCACGCAGGTCTCCGAAATACACCCAGTTTTGTCGTTTTCCCGTTTTTTTGCTCCCAGCAGCGTGCAACATCTGATTGCGTGGTATCAGATGCGAGCTGAATCTGCGATCGTCAACGACATCAAACACTGCGATCGTCAGTCCTCATTTTCCTTTTGACTGCCATGTCCAACCTCAGCATGGACGCCATCAACGATATCGACAACTTGGACGAGCTTCGAGCGATCCTCGAAGCGCACCGCCAAGAATTGGAGCGGGTCGAGGCGCAGGTGGCCGTGGTGAACGCCGCCAAAATCCCGCAGGCCGTCGTTCTCTTCAATGACGCGGTCCTCGAGCGCACGTGCGCCGGCCTGCGCGACGCGCATGGCACGAAATGCTACATGTACGCGACACTTGTGTGCTTGGCGCACACGGCGAGCTTCGTACGAGCGTTGTGCAACGAAGGCAAGCACTTGGTGACGAAGGACGTCGCCAAGCTCCTCCTCTCGATCCGCGACGGATCCATCGAGTCGATGTATCGTTCACCGGTATATGGCGAGTCCATCGTGTGGGACTTCCACAGAGGCGAGCAAGAAGACGCCCACGATTACTATTTGCATCTGATGAGACAGCTCTATGGCATCTCGGACGTGCCCAAGCGTTTGTTCAAGTGGAAGTGGGCCCAAGTGCAGACGTGCGCGGGCTGCTCATTCGAGTCGAGGACGCTGCACAGTACGATCATGTTCATCGCCGGTGAATGCGACGGAGGAATCGGCGGGAAGGACGACGGGAAGGCCGCCGCTACCACCAAGACATCGGTCGTCGAGGCGATCCAAGCGTACCTGCATGAAGACGTCACCAAGCTGTGTGAAGACTGTGGCGTCCAGCAAAACCACAGCGTGGGCACCGAATTTACCAACGAGCCCGACGTTCTCGTCGTCAAGATCCATCTGTTCAATATCAAGGTCGACGCCAAGGCCGGAACCTTTTCGTCGGAAAGAATTGTGCCGACGGTCGATTTTCAAGCCGGCGATGACATCCAGCTCGCGTCGTCCAAGTACCGACCCTCGGCGTTCTTGACGCACATTGGCAGCAAGATGTCGAGTGGTCACTACAAGGCGTACGTTCGGGGCCACATGAACCAGTGGTTCGAAGTCAACAACCATGTGGTCCGCAAGGTGAACATCAAGAAAGTCGACACGACAGAGGCCTACCTCATCTTTTTCGAGAAGACGCCATGAAGTCTTAATCTTAACCTGAAGTAAAACTAGGTAGTACTATACTAGTATAACGTGTCAAGATGATCATGCACGACCTATTTAGCGTACTGACTAGTGACGTTAAATCATATGATTGGTGAGGGGAAATAAATGGCTGGCATGCATTGTCATTTGCAAACAGGTCCCTTCCGGGGTGAGCTGGTAGGAACTTTTGTAATAGATGCGAAGCGTTGATTTAACGGTATTGCGACGACGGCGCGTTGGCCTACACAAAAGTCAACGCTCGACCTTCGCTGCGCTGCGGTG